ACTGATCTTGCGGAAGCTTCCTTTAAAATATTTTATCTTTATCTCCGTTGTTTTTGCTGTCTTTCTCGGACCACAGAGGGGTGTCTGTCTCAATGGCTTCGTTTTCTACTCGAATCCGCTATCGGCGACCATTGTTTCGTTTGGTTCCCTTTCCCGATTCGGATATGACGATACCGGATACAGTCTGGCAGACAAGCTGCCCGACCTCTTGGAGCTCGGGCAAAAATTGTGCCGGTAAATTGCCACCACACGCCTGAGAAGTGCCACCCGAACGGCGCGCACTCGCCAGCCTTTGACCACGCGAACGCCCTTGGCGGAGATATGGCAAAATATTTTGCCGGGAAATGACCACGCGAATTCGCCAATAGTACCTCCGTTAGCGAAAGAGGCTCGAGCTTTGAGAATCGCTCGAGCGGCCGTATTTCTTCGAGCTCCGCTGAATAAGCTTCAATACACCAATTCTGGGAGTCATTTGTGATGTGAAAATGGCTCCTTGACTTCCCGGAACATCACGGGAATACGTCAAGTGAGTTTTCTTGCGAAGAAATCCAATTTTTTTTCGATACCTTCAAATCTGAGAACGGCAGGCCAGCCGAACGGTAAGCCCAACGTTGGGCTTAGCGTGGCATGGCGTCGCCAAGCCCCACGGCCTTGGTACCAGCCCAGCCCGCTATCGCAACCTCCGAAGCCCAGCAGGGAACTGTAATCACCCAGACCCTCTCTGAATACAACTCTAACGTGGGGGCGAGTATTTTCGCTGAGCACCGGTACATGAATCCGGCTACTACACGACACCCTATCGCCAAACCTACCCGGCGACGCGCTGCCACCGACGTTGCTTCACTGAATGAAGATGACGACAATGTTTCTAGCAAGAGATCGAGAAAACCCAGCGGAACCAGTACATGCTCAAACCTGTCTGACTTGTCGGAGCTCCAAGCTGGAACCAATATGGACACCTACCAAACGAGCAATGGGCCCAAGATACGAACGATGACTGTGGGCAGACGTGGCAAGAAGTCCATTATGGAAAGAAGAAACAAAGGGCAAGTAAGAATCTTTCCAATTTTCTTACTGCCGCGGCTATGAACCCAAACAGCGACCAACTAGAGGAACGCTTCAATGTCGTCTTCCATTCGAAGGAACCGTACGATCTCGCAAGCATTCCAGCAGCATCTCTGCAAAGAAACTTTCTATCGAAACTAGGCCTAAACCTGGCCGCATGCCAGAAAACAGAGCTACCGACATTCCGCGTGAACAAGGCAGCCAACACAATTACCGTAACGGTACGAGACCGAAAACACGTTGCACTACTGCTCAAGGTAACGTCGATTAAAGCGCCTGAGAAAGCAGTTGAGGTCGTCGGACACGAAACGCCACCAAGGGACACGTGCAGAGGAGTAGCACACGGAATAGACCCGCAAGAGACATCGAAACAGCTAGAAGAAGCTCTTTCAAGCCGATCCCACGAAATCATACATGCTAGGCCTCTCGGCGGTCGAGGCCTCGCCCTTCTCACGTTCGTGGGCATACGACCACCGAGAAGCATTGTGTATCATGGTCTCATCATACGAGTCACACTCTACAAACCAACAACCATGATGTGCCAGAGGTGTCAAGGCCTCGGGCACAAGGAAAACGTATGCACGCGCAAACCCCGATGCAGGGATTGCGGTTGTATCTTTCTAGAAGGACACGTGTGCGAACGGCAATATTGCACCAACTGCAAAGCATCAACCCACTTGGCCGCAGACCCAACCTGCCCCACACGCCAGCGTGTCAATTTGATACTTCAGGCGAGAGCACAAAGAGGAGGAGCCAGGGGAAGCAAGGGAAAAGGAGGAAGCACCTCGAACACGCAGAAACCGCCGAGGGTAACGCTTGAAGACTACCCGACACTGAAACAACCAGGCATTCTCTCAAACAATGAGAGAACTAAGAACGACGCCTACCATGGAGCACGCAAACTGAAGAAAAGTCTAGAAGCCAGTCGCGCCAAAAACTTGAAGGAACCAATTCTCGTCACCGTTCACCATCTCTGCGGCACAACAACCACCGAGGCCCCAGCTACGCACACACGGCCCGCAGAGATGGAAACAAGGGTTACTACGCTAACGACGAAGCAGAAATCAAGGCCTGGCAGAAGGAACTCCACGCCATGGAAGCCGAAGACAAATCAGACACAGCAATCCTGAAACAAATGAAAGCAGATCTCCTTAAATTTGAGAGGAAGATCGAAGAGGACAAACAAAAACGAGAAGCCCGCAAGGCAACTATCGCCAGGCGTCTCAAGGAAGCAATGGAAACCCGCAAGGCAATCCAAGATGCGAATCAGCAAGAACGGGAGCAAACCCGTCGAGAAGCTTCGCAGGAACATCGAGTAATCTCCACCAGGGAGCCCACTCCACCAAAGCAAGCGGCACCAACGAATCAGATAAACTGGCAACAGATGTTCCTCCAGTTTCAACAACAGATCCAACAACAGATGAACCAACAAATGCAGCAAACGCAACAACAGATGCAGCAACAAATGCCACAAACACAGCAACAAATGCAGCAGTTCCAGCAAACAATCCTCCAGAAGCTTGGACCAGCACCTACGTACGACAAGCCAGGCCATGCCCGAACATGAGTGCTAACCACGATCGGACGGGTACGTTGCGAATCCTACAATGGAATTGTCGCAGCCTCCCACGACGCAAGTCCGAACTACTCGTGCACATCAAAGGTTATAAGTTTGATATCCTCCTGCTACAAGAAACTAGAACAAACGACATCGAACTATCAGGGTACTTGAAATTCTCAAATCCCTCCATTAAACGACAGAATCTCACAACTGCACATATCAGACCTGGGGAATGAGAAGTCAGGGCACAAGTCAACCTGTTTGTAAGCAAGAACCTGCCATGCATTCAGCTGGATACATGCCAGTGGTGTTTAGACTCCCAAGAGATTACTGCAGTAAGAATTGCTCTCCATACAACCAAGAGACGACTTGTTGTAGCGTCAGCATATACATGCCCTGGCAGTCAATGGAACTTTGAATGGATCACCCACTTAAAGAATGAATACCCGGATGACTACCTCATTCTGGGTGGAGACCTTAACACCAAACTCGAAGACTGGAACAATAACCAGCTTAACCAGAAAACCAGAAGACTCCTTGAAATCATAGAGCACAATGAACTCGAACTGGTAAACGACACTACCAAACCAACGAGGCATGCTACAGCAAGCAATCAAACTGACTCCATCATCGACGTCACTTTAGCAACCCCAGCAACAGCCCGCAAGCTCAGCTGGGACACGATGCGGGATGCGTGGGGTAGTGATCACTTCCCGATAATTATTGATGCGGCAATCGGAAGCAACAACCTCAAATCCAAACGTCCCACTCAAACCATAATCTGGGACAAGTTTAGAGAGAACTTAGAAGAGCAAAGGGAAGACCTGCAGCCACACCAGGTCACCGCACTGCTAACGGCAGCCACCCACCTGGCCACTGAAGTAAGGGAAGTCAGGGATGACACACCTGAACCAGACTACCACCTCCTGGCCCTTTGGGACAAGAGAACCAGAGCTCTGGAAAAGTACCGTAAAGGAAAACTAAAGAAACATCTCGACAAAGTCAACCGACTAACTGAGGAGGCTAGCAAATATTCATGACAACTAGTCACCGAGCGATGGTTGGATTACTGCGAAACCTTCGACAAGAACACCAGCATTGGGGATGTATGGAGAACGTTCAACTCTATGCTGGGCAAACGAAAGGGAGTCAGCCCCATTCCAGTAATAGCCCTTCTCTCCAACGAAGCAACAGAGGACATCCTAGACAAACTGGGGAAAACTTTCTTCCCGCAACCCACCACCAAACCAAAAGCCGGGATATATCTACCCAAGCATGCAGGACCATCGGAAAAACCCCAAGACATCCCCTTTACTGAGTCGGAACTTGGAGCTGCGGTTCACCACTGCCGAACCAAAAGTGCACCAGGCCACGATGGCATTACTGTCTCAATGCTTAGAAATGCACCCCATACAACCAAACTTGTCATCTTAAAATGATTCAACGACATATGGGAATCAGGGCAGCTGCCCGAAGAATGGAAGCTCTCCCTCGTCACTCCCATACCCAAGCCAGGGAAACCAGCGAGGGACCCCAAAAACGTACGACCAATTTCGCTTACATCAATCATGGGTAAGCTCCTTGAACGTATGGTGCTTGCCAGAATCCAATACAACGCAGAAAATCTAGGTATCTTCCATCCCACGCAAACAGGTTTTAGGGCAAATCTCCGCACTCATGACAGCTTATCTATGATCTATAAAGACGTCGTTGACATGCACCCAGCCAAGAAACAAATGCGAGTGATTGCATCCATAGACATCAAAAATGCCTTTGATACTGTCCCCCACGAGTCCATAATAGACAAGATGGAACAACAGGGTCTTGACGGAAAACAACTCGACTTTGTCAAATCCTTCCTCACGGGACGCACCTACAAGATTAGAGCTGGTTGTGGCAAAGACGGCAGGGAAGGACGCACACACGAAAACAACATTGGCGTTCCGCAGGGAGCCGTACTATCCCCAACTCTATTCAATATAGTGATGGCACCGCTCTTATGGAAACTGTATGAAATTCCCCACCTCAGAGCCACTGCGTACGCAGACGATGTGACCATATGGACACACGAAGGGAACCCCGAACTGCAAGCAGCAGCCCTGCAAAGAGGACTCAACACCATCGAATCATATCTTAACGAAGTAGGAATGTACCCTTCACCTGAAAAAACAAAGTGCACAATATATGGAAGGAATCAGAACAACAAAAACCTAGGGCTTACCTTTGCCGGAAACCCAATCCAACGAGAAGACTCCATAAAAATTTTAGGAGTAAACTTTGGATACTTGCCAAAGAACACCACAGCCTGGATCACCGAAATACTTAAAAAATGGAAACAAGGCATTAATTTGGTTAGGCGCGCATCTTACCCAAGATGGGCGGCGCGGGGGAAAAGACTGCAAAGAAGCTGGTCATGTCAGTGCTAGTCTCAAAAATTACTTATGCGGCGGGATTTTATCCCCTCACCCGGCGACATCACAACCGACTCAAGACCTTGCTAAATGAAGCAAGAAGAACCATCCTCGGACTCCCGAAACACACCCGTAGTGAAGAGCTGGCCAAGTGTATCTTCATCCCGGATATCGCTGATCTGATCCAGCAGCAGAAAGACGCTCAAGCCTCTCGCCTACAACATACAAACGAAGGCAGGATGATTGCGAAATTCATGGGCGTACAAATCCAGGTAGATCCTCCAATCCCCAAACGACCCCCTCCATGGGAACTCATCGATGTGACAGAAGGCTCCAAACCCCTACCTAAGAACATGGATGCAGATAGACACAAGAAACGCCGGGAACATTACGCAAGACAACACAAGAGAGACTTAGCAGAGATACTAGCGACCCCTAAACACATGGTGGCTTACGCAGACGCTAGCCTCGGCACCACAGGTTGGGCCACTGCAGTCACCTACCTCAAGAAACACGCAACCTGGACAGTGGCCCAAGGCAATCCCCTAGGCCATCACACACCAGAATATGCGGAGTGCAAGGCTGTCCTGCAGGCCATTGAAGGTGCTACACCCTACTTAGGAACTGACGAGCAGCTAGTTCTCTATACAGACTCCCAAGAAGTGGTTAGAGAACTTAGACAACACAAGTACTCTGCAAGTCCCACCATAAAAGCTATCTTTGACTCCGCAATCCGACTATACCGGAACAAGGGGGCCAGGATCAGCGTCAGGTGGGTCCCCGGACATGAGGGAATACCCGGCAACGAGCTTGCACACGAAGCCGCGCAGCAGGCGATGAGAAACCTCACGCAACCGTCCCTGCAGCCCCGGCCTTCGGACGTCAGCCCGTCACACCCGCAACCGAGCGATTGCAACGACAATCCTCATGAGGACCAGGATACATACGACCCTGTTGACGAACTGCGCATAGACCAACGAACAAGGAAACGCCTCCTAGAAAGATCCTGGTCCCCAGAGGAACACCCTATCCCGAAGGACACATTTCGAAGAAAAGAAATCGTGCTGCTACGGCGCATTCGCACTGGCGGAGCGGTGACTCCTAACCTCCAATACAAATTCGAACTTTATGCCCTCAAGAAAAAACACCCTTACGCAGTACCACCTTACCCCCGGTGCAAACTTTGCAGGGAGGAGGACTCGCGCCCCAGTTTGCACCACATACTCTGGGACTGCGAAGGGCTCAAAACTTACAGGTGCCTCATCTTCAGCAAGATGAAACAAATCGACCGGCCGACCAATCTCCGGGACTGGACGCACCCGGCGGGTGATTCCCAAAGAAAGACTCGGGTGCTGAGATCACTATTAGAGTATATCTCTACAGGCGGCCTGACCTCCTGCATTTAAACCCCCCACCCCGATTTCCCCAAAAGACGACGCCAGACCACAAGGTCACCGCGTTGCGATGACTTCGGTCATCGGAGTTCTTTTTCAATAAACGTTTTCATCCATCCATCCATCCCTTAGCGAAAGGGACCTTTATACGCCGTGTGATCACGATCTCCAGCTCCCTTTACGACAGGTACCTGGGCTAAACGTACCTTCACGCTGCCGTGTGATTTGGGTATAAATCCCTTTTATGTCTATGCCTGAGTCCCACTAGGTCAACAAACAGAACCAACCGACAGCGACAAGCCTGAAACCAGATTCTTTCGCGATTTGACTGGCTTTGTAGAATAAAAGAGGCTATGCTCAAACACGAGCAACATGCAAAGAGGTTGCGAACGCGGATCCGCTTCCAGTGTGAATGAGCGGTAAGTGTGAAACGGAGTATTGGCTTTCCTATCTACAAGCGGCGAGATGTTTTGGTGGCGCCCTCCTATGGTTCCCTCTCGTGACGTCATTACCTTGCGAACAAGTTAGATGGTGTTTGTAATGAGCATAATGGAAGCTTGATATCACTACGCTTTGAAACCAACACTGCCGACACACCATCACAAGGGAATTTCTTACATTACTCTTACTTCACTCGATGAGAAAGCCTTTGCTGACAGTATTCGGCCCATCGTGGAAGGCCGACCACATCGACGCTTTCGATCGCGAACGTAGTCAAGGGCTTTGATGGCTTAGTGGACTAGCGCAGACTAAAGCCACGAAATGAGCTGCGCTTAGAAAATCGGCACTCCGGTCCCCGATCTGCTAGCGGGCGCCGCCATCTTGGCACTTAATGCAGGGCAGACGCAACTGTCGATCGCCTCAAGTAAAACACTTCGACATCCTCAGCTTTACACGCGGTGCAATGTTGATAACATATAACCAGGACTCCGAGTTTTCGTAGTTCCTTTTTTGCCCAAAATTCGAAGTTTATCGGAGCTTGCTTTTTTTTTTGTTTTTTTTTATTCCCATTTTTTTATATTTAGAGTTCAATTTTGCAGCATTTCCTATTAAGGATAAATAAATAAATATATATTGTCTGGGTGTAAACGTTTCATTGATAAAATAAATAAAACGCGCTTGCATCAATTAACATTTCTTGAGCTAAATTCGGCGTTTGTGCCATTGCCATTGGCAATACTAATTTGTCCCACGACAAAAGTTGCACACAAGTGTTGCTTGGATAAACGTCAAAACCTTAAAATCAATTAATTCCTGGAGGTAGTCGCTGGGAAGCTCGTATTCATCCCATCCTATTCCGTCAACTTACCCCGCGGCCGTGCGAGGTGGAGTGGTAAAGGATATTAAAGACGTTTCAACTGCCCCTCTTCCCCATCTAATGCAATCGCTATGGTTTCACTTTTACAAAAATGTCACAGGTTTGCTGATATTCTCTGTTCGAACACAGAGGACTGCCGACCAGGCGATAGGTCCACGCGTCGGCGGAGTCTTGCCAATGAAGGGGAGACCACAGTTTTGCAACGAAAGGAATTTATTGCTACAAACAGAAAAAAAAAAACACACACAAAAAAGGTTAACAAGTGCCGGGCTGCGAAAGCAACAGGACTTGAACGTGCTTCACCCGGCCGGTACACGGGCGGCGAAGATAAAATCACTCAACACACAACGAATTAGGCAAAACCCAAAGTCTACCGCTCATTACAATGCATTAACCATCTCTTACGCGGGAGCTTCCCCGAACATGGAAAAAAATAGCAACTTCGGAGCTTCAATGTTATCAAATAATACAATCGGACGCCCGTGAGAACAAAGACCAACTACGGAAATACGGGTGCCTTAATTACTATAAAGAAAAATGCGAGTGGAGGGGAAATCTCGTCTCACAGTGTCCGGGAGAAACGGTCTTGCGAGGCGCTGTCCAAAGGGGGAAGGATTGCTCCCGGCGGTACCACGGTGAATTGGGCGGCTTGAGGTGGCCACACAATCACACACACACACTTCAATGAAAAAACTGTGAGTGCGCAGGCGAGCTGGTGGATGTTGATCATAATGTAGAAAACCCGAGACTGTGGTAAAAGCAAGGAAACGGAGTCGAAGAAGAAAGACAGGGGACAGAACGTCTCAACTTCCTTGCTTTTACCACAGTCTCGGGTTTTCTACATTATGACAAACACTTCGTCGTCGAAGTCTTCCCCAGTCCGGACCTGGCCCGCTACCGTTGGGCTCCACGGACTCGATGCTTCGATTCCCCGTCTGTTGCTTCCGAGTGTCCCGCTCACACTGCCCGCCTTTGCCTCAAAGAGTCCCCCTCGACGGGACCCCGCACTCCAGCACGTAGGCGTGGAAAAAAAAAAAAAAAAAAACCAAACCCTAGGACGCTGGCCCCCTCGTCACTTCATCCTCCCCCAAAGGCAGCATCGCTTCGTTTTCGTGGGAGCTGGGTCCCAGCCCTCACACCCCGCGATTTTCTTGGAAGGACGCGTCTAGCCCGGGAGAATGGATAACGCAACACAGCCGGATTTTGTGACATGAATAATGTAACATAGCCGGATTTTGTGACACTGCCCCTCACTTTAGAAGATTCACGCGTGAATATTTAAACAAACTCTTCACAAAAACTCGGTAAACAATATCGCATACAAAAAAAAATAATCAAGAGTACATATGCTAAGCAAACCAAACTGCGCTCCGTATGAGATACAGTCGTGCACATTCCCAGAGGGAAGTTTTCATATTCGGAGGATACAAACGAAGTACGGAGTAAACATAACATACATATACTGGCTTAATAGAGAAAAACAAAGCCTCATTAGTGAGACGGACTTGCAATCGGCTTAGGAAATCAGCACCCACATTTTCGCTGCCCTTGATATGTTCGATAGTGAAAGGAAATTCCTGCAAGAGGAGGCTCCACCTCAGCACTACTGTTCAGATGCTTCGCCTGATTGATGTACTTCGGCGGCTGGTGGTCGGTTTGTACGAGGAATTTCCTACCGTAAAGGTATGGACTGAATTTCTGCACTCCCCAGACCAATGCCAAGCACTCCCTTTTGATGGTGCTGTAGGCGGCCTCATGAGCAAGCAGCTTCCGGCTCGCGTAAGCCACAGTATGTAAGCGGCTATCATGCTGCTGCATTAAAGGGGCGGTGCAACGATTTTCAATTGGAATGTTTTTCACTTTACACGAGTTTACTGGCACTAGTGGGACTCAAGGATACTCGCACGAAACGCCACTGGCCAAGAAACTCTTTTGTTCCACTGTAATTTCGAGGACAAAACCGAGCGTTTTCATTCAATCTCTCCTTCGCAAAACCTGATGACGTAGCTGGGCGGTAGCAGTGCCGCCCAGTGACGATATTTGAATGCGGCTTATAGATTGGACCCGAGCATTGCGTCGGCACTCGATTTGGGCTCGTGATAATTACTAGCTCGAGAAGCATTCGGGTAGTGGCCCGTGTCCAATCGCTGCAATGACGACAACAGCCAAACCATAACAATGTCTGGAACGCAGCGCGTGTCCTGTGCCTTGCGGCCTTGCCAAACCCAGCGCGTGGCTATGATCAACATTGGCGGCATATAATCGGCTCCAGATCACGTGGCCGCTTGTTCTGGCTGCGAGTTGAGGGGGTGAACTCTGCTTGTTTTTCTTTATTTTTTTCTGTGACTTCAATTGCGTGTGGTGAAAAACGAATGGGTATTTCAGAAGTCATTAACGTCAGGGATCCGCTCTAAGCGGTATTTCCGCAAAATACAAAACTCATTGTATCGCCCCTTTAACATAGCTCCGAGACTTGTGTCGGAAGCATCGGTCCTGAGGACGAAGTCTTTTCCAAAGTCTGTGAGTGTCAGGATCGGCGGATTTGCGATCCGTTCTTTCAGCTCGTCGAACACCGACTGATGAGCGGCCCTCCACTCAACCTGGTTCCTTTCCTTTTTCTTTGTGAGGTCCGTTAGCGGCCCACTGATCTTTGCGTAGTCGGGAATAAAATCCCGGTAGTATCCCGTCAGTCCGAGGAACGCCCGCACCTGGCGCTTGGTGGTCGGCACACTCGCCTTCTCGATTTTGTCGAGCGTCTTTCCGAGGGGTCCGAGCTGTCCCTTTCCGATGCGGTGACCCAGAGAGTCACTTTGTTCCATCCCAAAATCACACTTGGTTGGGCGAATGGCCAGTCTCGCCGCTTGGATACGGCCGAACAACGTGTGCAGTGCAGTAAGGTGTTGTTCCCAGGTGTCGGCAGCCACCAACTCATCGTCGTAGTAATGGGCCACGTCTGGTATTCCGTCCACCACCTTCCGCATCAGTTTGGCAAATACCGCCGGAGCGGTCTTGACCCCAAACGGAATGTAGCGAAAATGGTACAGTCCCGAAGTCGTCGAAAATGCGGTCTTGGGCTGGGAATCGTCGCTGAGTGGATCTGCCAATAGCCCTTCACGAAATCCATCTTTGAGAAGTAGCGTTTGTTTCCGACGGCGGCGATAACGGCGTCGACTCGTGGCATGGGTTCGGAGTCTGGAACTAAGACGCCGTTTAAACGTCTGAAATCGACGCACAGCCGATTTGTCTCGTCCGGCTTCTTGACGAGCGGAACGGGTGCGTTGTACGCAGAGCTGGACTTTTCTATTATTCCGAGCCTGAGCATTTCCTGCACCTCTTCCTCAACCTTTGTGTGGGTCGCAAATGGCAGTGGGTATTGTCGCACATAGAAGGGGGTATTTGTAGTCTGCTTCAGCGCGCACTGTATCCATGTGATTTTTCCCGGAATGTCGGAGAAGATGTTCTCATGGCTGCGCATTACGCGGTCGAGCTGCGACTTTTGCTCAGCACTAAGCTTTGATGAAACTTTCGCATCTCCGGGGCCTTCCTCTCTCTGGAATGCTGGTAGAGGGATCGGCTGGTCATCTTCGGTTTCCGTCAGTGAGAGAACCGCGCAGGCCTGTCACTCGTCTTCCTACTCGATTCCCCGCTCCTCGCATTTCTTTAGTAGGTTAGCGTGGAACAATTTCAGGCCGGTCCTGTCTGGATCTCGTAGTCGACCTCTCCTGTTTTTCTCGTAACGATGAAGGGCCCCTTCCACTGCAGTAGAAGTTTGTTATTGTCCGTGGGGAGCAGTAGGAGCACCTTCTCTCCCGGCTGGAAACTCCGCTCGTTGGTTTTCTGGTTGTATACTTCGTCTCACCTTAGCATGGACTATTGTTTGCCGCGCATGCTAAAATCGCGAGCTAGTTGCTTTGGATGAAGCCGTAGCGGGAGCACGAGCGCTCGTGTAGCGAGTGCTCCAGTCAAGGCAATCAAGGCTAACCACTCGCGCTTGCACGGCTTTCGCAGTTAGTCCACGCAAAGGTGAAACGAAGTATAGTACCGAGCGTAACGAGCTCCCGACCTCGCGAGTTCTTCGTGGGCGATTTTGCACGTCTCCTCGAGGCGATTTCTCAGGTCGAGCACGTGCTCATAGGTAATCCGGAGCTCTGCGTCGAGCTCGACGTTGGTCCAAACCTCTCTCAGAATGACTAGCGGGCCCCGGACATGGCGATCGTACAACAATTCAAAAGGCGAAAAGCCGAGGCTCGCCTGTGGCACTTCCCGGTAGGCAAACAGCAATGCGGGCAAATACCGGTCCCAATCCTTGGGTCTCTCGGAGCACATTGGCTTCAGCATGAGTTTAAGTGTTCCATTGAACTTCTCCACCAATCAATTTGCCATGGGGTGGTAGTGGGACGTGTGCAACTGCCTTGTCGACAGGAGCCGCCTGATCTCTTTCATTAGCTCGGAAGTGAAATTCGAGCCCCGGTCGCTTAATATCTCTCGTGGCACTCCGACCCGCGCGAACATCTCGACCAGGGCCTCTGCCACTCTTTCGGTCTCGATGCTGGGCAAAGCCACGGCGTCCGGGTAGCGAGTCGCGTAGTCTACCATTGTCAGTATGTACTGGTTCCCTCGGCCCGAAGCCTGGGCAATCGGTCCCACAATGTCGATAGCAACCCTCTGAAATGGGGTATCTATTAAGGGGCTCCCACCCAGTGGGACGCGAGGGACCTTTCCCTCCGGTGTTGTTCGCTGGCACACGTCACACGATAGCACGAACCGCCGTACGTCCAAGCCCAATCCCGGCCAGAAGAACTATTCCAGGATGCGGCTCTTCGTTTTCGCCTGGCCCAGGTGTCCCGCCATAATGCTTTCATGGGCAACCTTCAGCACAGTTTCTCGGTGGGCCTGAGGCACCACGAGCTGGCGCGTCTCTCTCCCCGACAGCTCCCGGTATACTCGATAACGAAGCCCTTGCCCCTCTCCGGTTCCATAAGTGTCCGTGGCCGTCTTTCCCCTGGCCTTTCCCCAATCCGCTTAAAGCAGGGGCGCAGGGTGTTATCCTCTTCCTGCTCCTCAGCGAAGCCCGGCGTGTCGATGGCCAGCCCTTCGATTTGAGGCACGTGTAGTTTTTTTCAATCCAGTTTGTTGTTTCTTTCTCTGGGTCCTGGTTTCCACGGCACACGCCGGAGTTGGGGGATCTTCCACTTCCGCCCGGGTTTCGCGTCCTGGCTCGTCCTGGCTCTCCTGTGTGTCAAGTTCCGCCGGGTCCTCCCGCACTCGCTCTGTCGGTATCGGGTCGTCCCCCGCCCCCACATCAGTCGCGGGGTCGTCCGGTTCTCTAGCACCGGGAATATTGCCGAGCACGAGGTCGTACAGGGGCCCGTCCATGCACAGGGCTTTGAGTCCTCCGTCGAAGTAGGGCGTTTTAACGTGGCTATGGGCCTCGGGAAGCATTTTCACGGTTCCATCGACGAGATACAGTGGCTTCTTGGTTCCAGTGAGGAGGCCGTCGTCGACCAATCCTCGTCTTACGATGACTGTGTTACTCCCCGTGTCGCGCAGAACCGTGATCTTTTTCTGTCCGATTGTTCCCTCAACGACTGGCATTCCCTCGACCAGGAACTTATGGCGCGGGGTCATTACCGCGTTGACGACCGGAATTTTCGTCCCATCCTCCAGCTCTAAGAGCCCATCCGTGACGTTTCCGTCCTTTCTGTCTTGTCGGGGCATATAGATGCCCGACGCCTGAGGTTTCGTCTGGCCCCGGCAGACATCCGTCGTATATCCCTTCCTGCCACACTTTTGGCATGTGGGCACCTGTCCGGTGTGGTACAGGCTACGACATTGTGCAGCTTTGTACCCCGTCTTATTACAGAGGGAGCACCTCATAGCAGACCTCGGAGGCCCGCCCCCCTCGCTGCTTTTCTTCGCTGAGGGTTCGGCTTCGTTTTTCCCGGCTCTCCCCAGGTTACTATGACCTTGCGCGTCCAAAAATTGGTCCGCCATCTCCAACAGTACATCCAAATGTGGCAGTTTTCTTTCCTTCAAATAGATGGCCATTGCTGGATGACAACCCCTTAAGAACTGCTCTTTGATAACCAGCTTCCGGAGACTTTCAAAATCTTTGGTCACTGCGGCCAGCTCGACCCACCGGTCGAAGTAGTGGCCAAGCCTGGCGGCGTATTGAGTGGCCGTCTCTCCATCTACTGGCTTCCCAACACGGAATTTATCGCGAAAGCCCTCAACGGTAAACCGGAACCTCTTGAGCAGTGAGGCTTTCACTTTGCCGTAATCGGCGGCATATACGGGCGGCAATCGCCCATACACACTGAGGGCTTCCCCCGTGAGGCACCTGCTTAGGGCGGTGGTCCATTGGCTCTCTGGCCACTTTTGGCTTAAAGCGATTCCCTCAAACCTTCTTATATAAGCGTCAAGGTCGTCGTTCCTTTCGTCAAAGGCGAGTAGGAGCTTGTTCGGATTCAATTTCAAAACGCTCTGACCCCCGCCGTCAGTTCCTGCTCCGGATGAGCGTTTCCCCTCCTTCTTGTTCTCAAACTCTAGCCTCAGCCTCAGTATCTCAAGCTCCCTCTCGGCGGCTGCTTTCGCAGCCTCTTGTTCCCGCTTAATGGCCTCCCTGGTAGCTTCTCGCTCTAGGGCTCTCGCCTTTCTTTGTTTGGCGGTCTCTTTCTCTATCCACCTTTTTAGTTCGGCTCCCGAGAGGTCTAGTTTGGTTCCCAGGGCCACGAGTCTTTCAATATCCATTTCTGGCCTACCCAAGCTCGCCGCCGTTCGAACTACGGAACTACACTTCCCTCTAACCACGCGGTTTCTACTCGCAGCCCTCCAAAGGCAAGTGTCCACCATGGTCAGTCAGGTCCTGTTTCAGACGCCAGTTTTGTCACAGGTGTGCTGATACTCTCTGTTTAAACACAAAAGACTGCCGACCAGGCGATAGGTCCACGCCTCGGTCGAGTCTTGCCAATGAAGGGAAGACCACAGTTTTGCAACGAAACAAATTTAATGCTACAAACAGAACAAACAAAAAAACACAGAAAAGGTTAACAAGTGCCGAGCTGCGAAAGCGACAGGACTCGAACGTGCTTCACCCGGTTGGTGCACGGGCGGCGAAGATAAAATCACTCAACACACAACGAATTAGACAAAACCCAAAGTCTACCGCTCATTACAATGCATTAGCCATCTCTAACGCGGGAGCTTCCCCGAACATGGAATAAAATAACTTCAGAGCTTAAATGTTATCAAATAATACGATCGGACGCCCGTGAGAATAAAGACCAACTACGGAAATACGGGTGCCTTAATTACTATAAAGAAAAATGCGAGTGGAGGGGAAATCTCGTCTCACAGTGTCCGGGAGGGACGGTCTTGCGAGGCGCTGTCCGAAGGGGGAAAGAATGGTCCCGTCGGCACCACGGTGGGTTGGGCGGCTTGAGGTGGCCACACAATCACACACACACACACTTCGTCGTCGAAGTCTTCTCCAGTCCGGACCTGGCCCGCTACCGTTGGGCTCCATGGACTCGACGCTTCGATTCCCCGTCTGTTGCTTCCGAGTTTCCCGCTCACACTGCCCGCCTTTGCCCCGAAGAGTCCCCCTCGACGGGCCCCCGCATTCCAGCACGTAGGCGTGGAAAACAAAACAAAAGGAAACCAAACCCCAGGACGCTGGCCCGCTCGTCCCTTCAGCCTCCCCCAAAGGCAGCATCGCTTCGTTTTCGTGGGAGCTGGGTCCCAGCGCTCACACCCCGCGAATTTCTCGAAAGGACGGGTCTAGCCCGGGAGAATGGATCACGCAACACAGCCGGATTTTGTGACATGAATAATGTAACATAGCCGGATTTTGCGACAAAGACACGACCTCTCCTTCCGACCTGTTGTGCAGAATGAGCCTTGACGAGATAAGCAGGAAGATCCTTTCTGTCAATGCTCGGAGATTTCGAAGAAAACTGGAGTGGTATTTTCCGGGGCCATGGACCCTTTGCGATGATCCAACTTAATTGACCATCAACACAAAGTTGGCATCCCATATGCTCGCACCAACCTCTTTCACCATTCCTTCATACCGTCTACATCCTTTGACTGGAACCACCTGGCTGCACCCGTAGTCTCGATCATAGATCACGTCCTTTTTAAAAAAGCCTTGGAAAGTATTTTTTTTCTAATCTACATTGATTGCATTTCCTGTGTATCTGTGTCTGTGCTTTTTTTGTATTTGTTTTTGTTTTTTTCGATATCTCATGCAACCACTTCCCGCTCTGTAATGCTCACGCCCTGAGGGTAAAATAAATAAATAAATAAATAAATAAATTGTAAAAAACCGTCTTTTTTTTTGTCTTTTTTTTTTTTTTTTTTGAAGGAGCGGGGATTTCTTTTTTATGAAAAAGTGTTAAAAAGAAGTTTATTGGATAAATCCGAAATGCCAAAAATTTTACCGGCGGGTGTTTTTGGGAGTTTTCAGAATTTATCTGAAACCACCGGAACCCTACATCTCCTCTCTACAACCCTCTCTAAATTGGAAGCTCCTACCGCCTCTATCTCGGGTGATAATGTTTTGCTTTATCCCGAGCCGTTTTAACATTTATGGACGTGGGAAAAGCGTTTCCTGCGATTTCTTATCAAGTTCTAGATAGCTGGCAGCCATGATGTTAAGTACCAAGATGGCTAGAGTGTCGTACTCTGAAGCGTAGTGTATTTAGTGGCTCTTGAGCAGACCACCTCGGAGCACGTGGAGCGAGAGCTAGCGCTGCAAAACCCAGGCATCCTGGGTTTCGATCCCCACCCCTGCCGTTTCGATTCGGTCCGATCTGGATGAGCATCGTACCGGCGTGCGGTCGTGTATCACTACTGCGTGAGGCACGTTAAAGACCCCCGGCTAGCGATCGTATACTGCACTGGCTAAATTTCTCATCTACAGCTGAGAGACAAGTATGGCTCGTAGAGGCAGTCTACGTTCAATCTGTATAACATACCCCGCCCCATAAACGTGTCAATGATCGGTGACAGGTTAAGAGTAAGTTGGAAGCTACTCCTACCTCTATCCAGTTTAGCAGAGAGAACGCTGGAGGGGAAGCGACCTCCTCTTCAGCGTTCGCTCTGCTAAAGTGGACAGAGGTGGGAGGAGCTTCAACTTCACTCTTGACCTGTCAGCGACTTTAGGAGGTGTTGGTTTGCCATACGAGAGGCGAGGGGGTCACGAAAGTGTCGATCGTCTGCAAGCGTCCCAGCCTTTACGACCGCTTTCTTCCTTGTCCCCTGAGAACGCAGCGCAAGCGCACTTGAGACCAATGGGCGCGGGAGGCGTCCACCATCGAAAAGCTCGCCATAGTTTAAGTTGCTCCGTCCCTTAAATCTAGGCACTCTAGAACTGTATACACCAACTCATGTTTACAAACAAACCGGAGCGCACCTAGCGGACGCCACCGGCGCCACGCATGCGCGATGGGGCTGTGGGCAAGAAGCTCCCCGTCGCCCATAAACAAACCATTAAAATGCGATGTCGGCGTCGGTGTGAGTCCCCCTTGCCCTTTTTCGCGTTCGAATTGTTGATTCTGCGTCTTCCTGGCGGTGTCTGCCTACTTGAGCGGCGTCAGCAAAATTAACGAGGCTCGTTACACCGCAAAACTTCCCGTGAATAATGTGACATGCGGCAATTCATTCCGCGTGGACGCCACAGAATAGACGCTAAAGCGTGATTCGCATGATGAGATTTTGCTCGCAATTTTTAGTCGCGACGACGCTCGGGCTGCAAAAGCGTGAACCGTAGATGAGATGGTCGACCTCGATACTGAAAATCTCAAGCAGAATCAGACCCACTGAATCAGGCATAACAAGTCGGTGATGGCCACTGTTAACAATGATCAACATCTCCTTGTATCTATTGTTTACATCGAGCCTGCTTACCAACTTTCAAACTTTTGTCTTTTGAGGCCCGGCACTTACTTCTTATTGCAAGTACCGGACCTACGTTTGGTCTACGGGCCGGTATCGTCTAAAAGAGCAGATGACAAGCAGAAACGTCTGAAAGAGCAGACGACAGTTCCAACGATCACGCGGCCGTTTGAACTTGAAGACGCACTGAACATAGCCCGCAGGTGGTCCGTACAACTTGACGGTTTACCGGCGTTCATGTAACAAAACAAATATATATGATGACCACAAGTATCCGTGAATTCAACCCAAAGTGCTTCCCGCCCAAGCAATCATGGTCCGACGGCGTCTGGTTTTCCCTTTTCACGGCACGCATCCACGTTCTCGGACGAACCGAGCACACGAAAACTGACCTTTAAACCTACCTAGACTCTTTTGGTACAGCCCCAGTCGCGGCATTTTAACAAGGCAGGGTTTTGTCTGATTCCTTTCAAAACAACGCAGGCATACACGTCTCACATGGGGGCTTCTGCCCAAAGCCCCAGACCGGAAGTGCGTCCGACGCGCCACCACCGCGCCGTGACGTAACAGAGATGAGTTCGTGTATAGACCAACACGCGGGCATGACGTCATGGAGCTGCGGCGGCGCTGCGATCGCGCCGGAGCCGGGTGGTGTGCGCAGAAGGGCGCGCGTTTTGCATGGGCGTCATAGCAGTTTTGCATGTCGCAAAGCTGCGTAGCCGTTAATTGCACCGAAAGGTACAGCAGAAGTAGCGAAGTTAGGTTCCACAAGTTCCCGGCGGACTCTGAAAGGCGCAGAAGGTAGATAATATCCTTGGATCGAAAAGTAAGGTCGCCTCGCGCGGACGATCGTTTGAACGGCAAGCACTTTCGTGAAGGCAAGTGTGGCTTCCATTTCAATCTCCGTCCCGAGGCTTGCTTATGTGCAGGGAAGCCGTCGTGTGATCGAGACCACTTAGATTTTGTTACCAAGGTGTTCGCGCACAAAACACCGGCCAAGCGCTCGTCGGAAGGAGATCACCGACAAAACGGGCAGAGTGTTACCGATTGTCGTGCCTTCTGGTCGTGAAGGTATAAAGATATCATACCTTGATTTGAAGGACGCTGTGTGTATTTAATAAATTAATCAATACACTTCCGCAGACCCACAGTCTGCTGATCCTGCCGGCAGCGCGGAAAACGCCTCGAGAGACTTGTACGCCTGCACCGAGAAACTAAATAAACGACGACATGAGCCATCGACGTCGGTGGCAGAAACTTCGCGTTGGGACTCCCGCAGCCCTTGTTTACGACGGATTGTCGAAGGCAACACCGTCTACACACAGTTTGTCTCGATACCGCTGCCGTTCAGGATCGGGTAGCGAGCTCAAATAGTTGGGCATAACATACGACACACGTTGGCAGGAAATACGACGCACAAATAAATCTAGAAGAGTCTCTACAACGTCAACAATGAGCGCAGGCCACACAACGCAATGGCGAAAACACGAAAAGCGTGGCCGCTTTTTCCCACATAGCTTCAGAGCATGCCCGGCTTTCCGGCCGTGTTGGTAAACAGATCAGCGCTGCGTGTCGGTCGATTAGCGGCGAGATGTTTTAGTGGCGCCCTCCTATGTTTATCTTTCATGACTTTGCGAACACCAAGTTCGACGGTGTTTGTAAGGAGCATGGTGGAAGCTTGAAATCATTACGATCTTAAAACAACACTACCAACACCGTCGAAATTGAAGTTCTTCCATTCCTCTTATTTCCGTCGATCAGAAATCCTTTGCTGACGTCATAGTCAGCATTCGGCCAATCGCGGAAGGCCGACCACAGCGACGCTTTCGATCGCGCACGTCGCCATTACGCCC